ATTTTGGGTTATTTTATAGTAAAAATTAGAAGGGACAATTTTATTTTATAACCACTTTTTCAACATAGTAGTTTTTCATTTCTCTAACAATCTATAATAGATATAACAAGAACGTAATTTGAGGGGCTGGACAGAAGGCTCAGCAATTAATTAAACAGTATGCACTACTTTTGCAAAGGACTGACTTCAATTCCCAGCACCCAAGTTAGGTGGTTCACAACTGCCTCTAACTCCACCTCCCAAGGATTCAACGTCTTTTTCTGGACTCCATGGGCACCTGTACTCACACACGTAACCAGACACACATACACATACACAGAAAAATTTTTTATACTCAGGTACTAAGGATCCGAGTGTAACCAACTGTGACTAGTAATAATCAGATACATAGAGATTAAAGACACATGTGCAAACATGTGTTAGTAGCATTAAAAATGTAAGAAACAGCATATCGTAAGATGAAATAGAGATCTTCTTTAAAGTAAAAAAACTCATTCAATTTTATGTCTTACAGGGTTTATGCTGAGTTCAAAATTGTATGACTGTATTAATTCAACTGTGAACCTAAAAATTTACAACCGCCTTTGAAAGAGCTGTATTCTTGCTCTGGAATGTGTTACTGAATATGTTAAAGCTGTAATGAAATGCTTCTTCTAATCATGTGGTTATTAAATTTAAAATTTTTTTTTAAAGTTATTTAGACAAAAAAAAAAGATATTTAATTTCAGTCAGTGGAAAATAAGCATTTACCAAGCTAAAAACAGGTTGGGTACATGAAAACCGGTGAGATGGCTCTATGGGTAAAGACACTTGCTGCCAAACTTGATGACCTGAGTTTAATCCCCAGGACCCACATGGTGAAAGGAGAGAACCACACCTACAAGCTGTCCTCTGATGTACATCATGGCCCACAAGACCACCCCTCCCAATCAAGAAGTATAATAAAAAAAAAAAAAATGAAGTATGAGTTCAGACCCACCTATCAGGTTTTAGAGCTGAAAGGCACCTCAGGAATCCTGTCGTCTAATTCCTCAGATGAAGCAGATGAAGCCTGGGGCTGAGGACAGAGGAGCAAAGAGGACAAGAGCCGAGCTGCCTGCAGGTCTGACCTCCATTCCTGTCTTAACTTTGCCTGTTGGAAACAGCACAGAATAGATAGGCCAGGCAAAGGCAGAGCCGGTCTAAAAGATGAAAAAGCAGAGATGCTCTAGAGGAGAGGCTGGCCACTAGAGCAAGGCGCAGCAGAAACGGAAGAGAAATGGACCTCGCAGGCCATGAGAAAGGGAGCAATGTGCTCAATTAACTCTTACTTCTGAAAGTGGTTTCCTAAGAAGCAGGACCATTCTGTCAACAAGAAGCACCAGCCGGCAGCTCTAGGGTGAAGGGAAATTGAACAGAGGGGTCTTGCAGGAAAATCTATCCAAGCAAAAGTCTAACAAACTTTCTTTCACAGCTATATGCTAATAAGCTCTGTGATATGCAAACTGCTCCCTGAATCTTTACAAATTACAACAAGAAAGGAAAGCCCTAACAGTTTCATTATGTTTTTCTGACAAAGTAATTTATTCTGTGCCAATGTGATGCTAAAAGTACAGTTGGATTTTCAAATACTAAATGTAAACCCTACAGTTTGTTGTAATTCTTAAAAACAAAACAAACAAACAAAAAACAAAAAAAAACTTATGTACAGGTTGGAAGATAATTTTCCACTTAATGACTAAGGTCTCGTGATAGTTACAATTCCTGATATTTACTTCAGGAACATACCACATGTGTGGTTAATCTGTTACTGCATCTCTGATCAGGAAGAGAACCCCTAAAGTCTTCCTTAGGATGAGTTAAGACAGAACTGGTACCTTTACCTTGTGCCTTTACTTGAGCCCAGTCCAGGCCTTGTAAGAGATGGTGCAGCTGGGGAGTCACTGGACAAACTAGTTATATAAAGAACATGGGAAAGCCAACCAAGAATTGCACGTGTAAAATGAGTGATTCTGAAAAGCAGGCGTGAGAGCCCCTGAAGCTCCCCAAGAAACTTAGGGGTGGGTAAAGCCAAAATGATTTTAGAATAAGATATATTTGCTAGTGCACTCATATTGTGTCATAGCCACAGTGTGCGCCAAAGGGACTCCCTCGAGTTGTCCTCAGACCACCACACACATACCATCGCATGCATATCCCCTTCCCTCCAGTAAATAAATAAATGTAAAACAAAATTTTAAAAAAGAAAAATCATTTAAGTTTTAGTGTAATATTAAAGAACATCTCCTTATCTAAAAAGGCTACTAAAATATGCTTCTGTTTTCTAATTACTGTAAACATCTGTGAGGCTGAATTTTCTGCATAGTTATCAACCACAACATATTGCAGCAGCCTGAATGCAGCAGCAGATATGAGTACCCAGCTGTCCTCTACGAAGCCAGATTATGAAGAAATTTACAAATACATAAAAGGAGCCACTTTCATCCTGATTTGCTTCCAGTTTTAAAAAAATGAAAAAAAGAAACCCACAAAAACTTTCTTAAAAAGTTTTTTTATTAGTATGAGTATTTGTCTGCATGCATGTATACACATGATGTATTTCTGATGACCATGGTGGCCAGAAGAGGGCATCAGGCCCCCTGGAACTGGAGTTACTTGTAGTTGTCAGCTGCCCTTTGGGTGCTGGGAACAGAACCCCAAGTCCATTATACAAGCAGTCAGCATTCCTAATCATTGAGCAAACATGTTTTTATTAAAATATTTTGTAATACAACATACCAAACTGATTATTGCTATTTAAATGAATTAAATATTTTTAAATAGTCTCAATTTTATTTTCTAATGTAGTAAACATCAATAGACAAATCCACAAACAAAAACTTTGTGAGGAGAGAGTTGTTAATAATTTTTAAGGTTTGAAAACCACTGTATTATATAACTTAAAACGTTTCTTTGCTCCTAAACTTGGTTTTTTAAATTATTAAATACTGAATTAATATACATAAAAATATATGTTAAGATGGGACGGCTACTTTGACAAGACCATTCAATGTACTGCTGAGGTGTCCTGTTATACAGGGGGGCAGCCACAGACAACAATGATGTGCTGTACATTTAGAAATGCTGGAGGAAGGCAGCTATGCTCACCACTGGACAGCCTGGTCTACATAGTGAGTTCCAGGACAGCTGGGGCTACAGGGAGACCCTGTCTCAAAAAGACAAAAAAGTAAAATAAAAAAAGTTGGAAATGGAGGAAACGACTTTGAAGGTTTCCAGTATGAATATGAGAGATACACTTAATCAATTTAAAAATTATGTAATATATAGATATATCAAAGCATAGTACAGTATCCCATTAATATGCATAATTTTATGTTTTATGTATCACTTATTTTTAATTTAAAATGCAATTTATGAAAAAAACAAATGTGTTGAAATAAAAGTCAAAATAAAGGCATAAAGTAATTTTAAACAAGGAATTAAGTCGTCCAGTTTAGCTGCCTGCCCTTCATACAGAGCTTTAGAACTTTAATCCCATCAAAGAGTTCTCCACCCCTGGTACCTCCTGGAACTGGAGCCCACTACAGGTGGTCTGATTGCTGAAGGAGGAAAGACAACTGCCATGGTGGCTGTCTCCATTAAAATTGATGGTTATTTATCTCTTTAACTACAGATCCATCTTCAAACAACTGTCCTCCTAAATCACAGAGCTCCTATGCATCCTGTCACATCAAGTAACAAAATAAGCCTGGTGCCAGCTTGCAGATGGAAAAGGGAAAAGCTATCGCCACTCACCTAGTTACACCTACACCAGAAAAACACCTCCCTCCCATCCCTTAAAGAGTGCAACTGACTTGAGAGGGCTAAGAGCTGTGGCCTGAAAACTTCATCATCATAAAAAGTTGACTTTCTAGCCTAAAACCTGAAGTAAAATATTTACACTAAAAAAGGAAGGAAGAAAGAAAGGAAGGGAGGGAGGGAGGGAGGGAGTGCCCGCCAAGTTCAGAAGAGAGCACTGAATTGCCCCGAACTGGAGTTACAGATGGTTGTTATTGGCCATGTGGATGCTGGGACTCAAACCCAGGTCCTCTGCAAGAGCAGCCAGCGCTCTTAACTGCTGAACCATCTTTCCAGGCCCCCAACTGATTTTTTAAAAAGATGTCAAAGCAACTTGATGTGATGGAAGAAGAGTTGCCTTTTCAACAAATGGTAACTGCATCCACAAACAAAAATCCCTCCGATTGGTCTAAGCCTCAACCCTTTGCACAAAAATTAACTCAAAATACCATGCGCTTAAATGTAAAACATAAAACTTCTATAAAACATGGAGTTGCACACCATATATATACACATAATTTGTCAATTATTCCTCAATAGAGATTAGGAAAGAAAATACTTTAGGCTGTAGCACAGGAGAGAATCTTTGTACTATGAGCAAAGGACAACAGTGGTAGATGTCTAGTTCTTAGATTTGGCACACCAAACCACGATTGATAAAAAAAAAAAAAAAAAGTCTAATAAAGTAGACATCAAAATTTAAAACTTTTCCGATGGGTGATTCTTTTCTCACACCATACATCTTAGAAAAGACTCATATCAAGAAAAATAAAGAACTCTCAAAAAACAGAAACCCTCCCCCCACAAAATAATTCACTTAGCAAATGGGAAAAAAACATGAACAAAATAAATAAATCTCCAGATATTCAATAAGCAAATAAAAAGATGTTCAACATCATCAGTATTGGGAAAATGCTTAATCCCAGCATTGGGATTACAAGTGAGCACCACATGCCTACCTTTTTTCACATGGGTGCTGGGGATCAAACTCAGGTCCTCAAGCTTGTGCAAGTACTTTACAGGCATAACCACCTCCCTAGCCCCTAAATTCCCAATTTTAAATTGTCTTTCTTTCTCGTAAATATACCAACAATGGCCAAATTGCAGTAGGCTATCTAATCAGAGCCCCTGAAACACCCAATGAGAAACAACCCCAGGCACAACAAGACAGCATAGAATTTTACCTTAATTTTTCTCTCGGTGTCATCCAATTTTAACTCTGCTGAAACTAGTTTCTTTGCCAAATCATCTCGTTCAGGCAGGTGTCTGGCCTCAGAGATCTTTTTCAGTTTCTGTAAGGAAAATCTCGTCCTAAATAGTTCACCTTCTGTATCTTTGACCCTTTTCTCCGTTGCCCGTTCTTTCTCTTGAGACTTTCGTAAACGCTCTTTGAGTGCTGTAATCTCGTTGTTATGACGGAATATAAGCTGTGAGATTTCACTCTCTGCATCTTCAAACTTATTCAGGGCTTTCTCCTGGCGATACTGGAGACTTTTCAAAGCCTTGTTCTCTTTGAGCAGCTCAGCTAACTTAACCTGGAGTTCAGACACTTCATTCTGCAGCTCATTGATTTTAAGCAGTCTTGCAGAAAGAACTCGTTTTGTTACAATATCGGGATCTTTCCGAAGTGGCTCTCTGTTGAGGCTTTGGGAACGAAATCCCACTCGGACTCCTTTTTTGCTTGGTATACCCTTAGGACTCAGTTTCCTAAGGGCTACAAAGGAAACAATAATGTTAAATGGAGGTTGTATTATTTATTCATCTAAAACAAGTGGGTCCAAACATTCTCTACTTTTTATTCTTAAAACAAGATAATATTCTGCAGATCTCTGTGAGTTCAAGGCCAGCCTGGTCTATATAGTGAGTTCTAGGACAGCTGGGGCTACACCCCAGGTAATGTATCTCCAATTTTTCAATTTTTCTCTTTATAACACCTGTCTCCTCCTATCTCCTTCCCTCAAGGTCCTCCTTCCCCTTAAGCCCCAGGGTTCCTTGTATAACCCTTCCTCCTCCCATCCCAGTTCAGACTTCAGTGTGAAACCTCAAACATTGAAACTGTTAAAAAAAAAAAAAAAAAAAAAAAAAAAAAGAAGACAATATTGAGTCTGGAGAGAGAGCTCATCAGTCAAGAGCAATGACAGTTCTTGCAGAGGACCTAGATTTGATTCTCAGCACCCACATGGCAGCTAACAACCATCTGTAACACCAGTTATTTATTAATCATAATAATTATTATTTTTATTTTATGTGGATGAGTGTATTGCCTGCATGTGTGTAAGAGCACTCGTGTTGTGCAATGCTCAAGGAATTCAGAAGAGGGTATCAAATTCCCCTGGAATTACAGACCGTTGTTAGCTACTATGTAGATGCTGGGAATTGAACCCAGGTCCTCTGCAAGAGCAGTCAGTGTTTCTGACCACCGAGTCATCTCTCCAGCCCAAATAAAAAATTTTTAAAGATAATATTTAATATTTAAAAACCAAAGTTTTTAAGGTCTTGACACATTTCTGTTTTTAAAAGTTTGGGGGTTTGGGGGAAGCAAGGAAATGATTCAGTTGGTGAAGGACTTGCCACACAAGCAGAAGGACTTGAGTTTGATCCCAGAACTCATTTGCTTTTTTTTTTTTTTTTTTTTTTTGGTCTTTTTTGTTATTTTGTCTTTGTTGTTGTTTTTTTCTGGAGCTGAGGACCAAACCCAGGGCCTTGCACTTGCTAGGCAAGCACTCTACTACTGAGCTAATTCCCCAACCCCGATCCCAGAACTCATATAAAAGAGCCAGGCATGGTGGTTAGCACTGGTAATCCCAGCGCCAAGGAGATGAAAACAGGCAGGTACCTGGGGCTTGCTGGCCACAGCCTGGCCTACTTTGGCAAATGCTGTACCAATGAAGAAATCCTGTCTCAAAAAACAAAGGGGATAGGTCCTGAGACACGACACCCAAGGTTGATCTCTGACCTCCACAGGCACATGCACATGAATACACACACACACACACACACACACACATGCACACACACTCACACACACACACACGCACACACGCATGCACACACATGCACGCACACACACACACACACGCACAAACACACGCACACATGCACACACACACACACAGAGTTTGGGAGCTTCTAAGAAAGGTTGAGAATATTCTGAATTAAAAATGATACCCCAGTAGTTTATATGGAATTATCCTACTCTATTTTTAAAAAGATAGCAGTGTCAGGCTCTTACTACTTTTAACTTCATGGGCAAGATTTGCAAATCAGAATTCAAATATGGGCATCATGAGCCATTAGTATGGTGGTTGAGCACCATACTAATATAACTAGAGTTATAGACAGTTGTTAGTCGCTATGTGGATGCTGGGAACCGAACCCAGCTCTTCTGCAAGAGCAGCCGGTGCTCATAATTGCTGAGTCATCTCTCTAGCCCTCCATTTTTGCTTTTATATATAGGGTTTCATGTAGTCTAGGCTGGCCTCAAATTCACTCTGTATCCAAGAATGACCTTGAATTCCTCAATCCACTGCCTCCACTACCCAAATGCTACGATTACAGGGATGCACCAACACACATCACACAGCTCTCAGATAATTTGTGTGTGATAATCAAACGTTTTAAAAATTGCTCATGATCTGAGAACATGAAATTCTAAGAAAAGAAATTCTATCTTAAAAATAATCATATATGGGGCCAGAGTGATGGCTCAGCAGTTAAGAGCACTGGCTGCTCTTGCAGAGGACCCAGGTTCGGTTCACAATACCCACACGGTAGCCAACAACTGTGTATAACTCCAGTTTCAGGGGAACTGATGGCCTCTTCTGACCTCCTCGAGCACTACATAACATGGGTTCACTTACATGCATGCAGGTAAATCACTCATACATAAAATAAAATAAAAATAATAACTTTTTTAAAAGAATCATATAAGGAAATGGAGATGGCTCAGGGGGTTAAGGGCACTTGCCACCAAGCCTGACCACCTGAGTTCCATCCCTAGACCCCACATGGTGGAAGGAGAGAACTGTTCCTCCAAGTTGTCCTCTGGCCCCCACACATGTTGTGCAGTGTCCACTCGCACACACACACATAAATAAACATTTTTATATGAAAGTGTTAAAGTGCCTGTTAAATTACAGTATTTCTGAAAAATTTGGAAAGTATTTTTATTAACATATATATACAGGCCTACTCTTTTAAAGTATCTAAAAATCAGAGGTTAAAAACAAAAAAACAAAACAAAACAGAAAAACAACTCCAAGGTGAAGGTACTTCTTTTCCAAGGAGGAAATGCATTCCAGATACAAAGAAAATGGAAAAGGCAGCGGCTCCACCTCCGGCCCTGGGAACTTGATTTATCATGCAAACAGGGAACAGGAAAAGACAACTTTTATGACATGTTTCATTTAAAAGATGATAAATGGAATTTTCTGGCTGATGCTGGAACTGTTTTCACAGCTTTTTCTCAGTATTCTCAAAAACTGGCAGGAAACCCCATGGGTGAAATCTGGAGAGGATGGGAATCTCTGGCCTGGATGAAGGCCCTAACTTTCCAGTTTTTCCAGGTCAATCATCTGTCAGGACCACCCTGGGGAAGGTGGGAACACCCTAAGTCACACTGCAGAGATGTGCAGAATACCTAGTGCATCAATGACATGGTGAACTTTTACTGCCCAGAATCCCAGCCTTCAGTGCAGTGCTTCTGGACCAGGCCACGTGAAGCTTTCCCTGATCTGCCCTCCTTTACTTTTGTTTTTTAATCTCTTTTCTAACCATGCTTTCCCTACCGTTCTGGGCTGCCCCAACATCCTGTGTTTCTTTACTTTTTCTACAAAGCTCCCTTCCCCTCTGGGCCATGCAGCTACTAATCTGACTTGATGGCTTCTCCCACCATTCTGCTCATAGCAACGGCTAAGACTCACTGTTTAAATTCTAATAAAATTGTCCTAAAGCTTCCATTTGAGACCATTCTTGGATTCTTTTATGAGAATAAGATCCCTGAAAGGACACCCTGCTTTCCCCTGTATCAATAAGGCAAGGTTTACTAAGCTCTAATTCCTTAACTAGGAAGTTTCCGGGAAAGGAGAGGAAAAATTTCAAGTATTTCTTACCAATAATTCCCTAGGTGTGCAAATCAGTCTTAGGAATAACAGACATGTTAAGATTCAACTTTAAGAGATATTTATAGTCATATAGCAGAATTTTAAGAGCACAGTCCCAACTAACAACACTGTAAGAACCAGATTTGGAAGAAAGTTTAAAGAAAAAAAAAGATCATGCTTTAAAAAGAAAGCCAAAAAGGGAAAAAAGAAATAGTAAACAAAAAAAAGCACTCAAATGTCAGTCATGTGGCCTATCCCTGAGAAACCAGGTCCCCGAAAGGGTGGTTTTCAAAGGGGATACACATTCTGTCGTTTTTAATTTAATTTTCATTATTATGGGGGGGTGCAGGTGTACGCATCTGGGGGTTAGAGGACAATCTATGGGAGTTGATTCTCTCCTTTCCCCATGGGTTCCTGGGCTCACACTCAGGGCATCAGGCTTGTAGGACAGCATCTTTACCTGCTGAGCCATCTCTCTGGCACTCTGTAATCTTTAATGTGCAAATATCACTTTTCAAAGTACTGGGGAGTTTTTTGTATTTTTTGTCATTTTTTAAAAAATATTTTACTTATTATTTTTATGTGTATGCACATGTTGCCTGCATGTTGGTAAGTGCACCCATGTCCTGTAATGCCCGCGGAGGGCAGAAAAGACTGTCAGAACCCCTGGAACTGAGGTTATGGACAGTTGTTAGCTGCCATGTGGGTGCTGGGATTCGAACCTGGGTCTTCTGCAGGAACAGTCAGTGTTCTTAACTGTTGAGCTATCTCTCCAGCCCCCTCAAAGTGCTGTTTTTAAATGCAAATTTAATTACTCCTTTTCTTAAACTGGTTCAGTGGCTGTTGTACACAAGAATAAAGAACATATTCTGTTAACGCAGGATGTGGGTCTGCATTCTGTGACTTCTGTTTTCTTCTCAGTCCCCAATTGTCTGCCTGGCCACATGATGTCTCAGTCATCTGCAGCACTGCTGTTACGCAGCACTATGTGCACCAATGTATCCTGATCACCTCATTTGCTTCAGCGTATTGTTCTAGGCTGTTCTTATATACTTTACATACCTTGTTGCTCAGTATAATGGGATTTTATTGACCTAGAGGTTTATTAAAATGAGATTTATTTAGCATTACACAGCTAAACATGTTCCAGAATAGTAAGATTTTAATAACAAAAATTAAATAACCCAGTCTCCTTAAGGCAGTTTAATGAAAAACAAAAATGACCAGTACTCCTTAGTCCCAAATTTTATTCCTAGGTCTAACCTGAACTTCACAATAAGCACCTCACTACCCACCTAAGGTAAAAAGTTTCATCTTAATCCCAGCACTCAGGAGGCAGAGGTAAGTAGATCTCTGTGAGTTCAAGGCCAGCCTGGTATACATAGTGAGTTCCGGGCCAGCTGGGGCTGTCTCAAAAATATTGAAAAAAAAAATTTTTTCATCTGTGAAAATGCCTCTTAACAAGTCTCTATCAGTCTAAAAATGAAGACACAGAGCAGTAGACCTGCTTTGTAAGTTCTGCCTTTACACTAAGTACCTCAGCAATCACAAGACAGATATTTTGAGCAGTTTTACAGTACTTTCTTCCATACACTGTATGATTTTGAATATAAAAATGGTAATGCACTGCAACACATACATATATGCAACATATACATTTATAAAAAGATCTATTTAAAATGTAATCGGTCAACTTCCATGTATACAGCAATACACATACTAAAGGGAAAGCTTGATTCACACAATTTTACACACTCCACCCGAGCACTCCATGTAACTGGGCTCTTTCCAAGAGACCTACCTTGGTGATGCACCTGGTTATCTGATACTTGTCTTTTAGGATTTTTCTCCCTAGGTCTTGCACATGAAGGTGAATTGACTGGCGTTGACTGGCCAGAGGATTGTGGTGAGGATCCGAAATCAGATGAATAATGAGAGTAATGGTGTTTGCATACTTTTCTTTCTTGATCAGTGTCTGGACTTTGGGCTCTTTCCCCCATCGTTTTAACAAAATAACCTGTACTCACATAATTTCACAGATTCATGAGGATACTGAAGAGCATTTTCATAGCCTTGATATCGTGGTAATAATATTGATTTCTGTGCAATTTGCTTTCTTCACAATATACTCACAGTCCACACTGGTAACCAGAAGACATCGTTTATTCCCTGTAACTGAGGAAAGAGAGAAGAAGTTCATCAGAGTCAGGAGACAGACTCCCCAGTTAATCAAAAGAATAAGTAATGGCAAAGTAATAGTTTATGATAAGGGAGAGGATAAAATTTATATTTTCACAGTAAGATATTTATAATATTTGGAAAAAAGACAGGTTTTGTCATGGCCTAGAAAAATACCATGCACAGTACCTGACACAAAATTGCTTCTCAGTAGATATTAACTAATTCTAAGTCTCTTAAATCCTAAAAGTTATAATAAGCACAATGCTTAACAGGGGAAAAATGATGAAATGCCAGGATTTTTCTGTTTTTTAGGGAGTGGTAGTAGTGATGGTGATTCTTCTGACCTCCTCAGGCATTACACGACAAAGGTGCACTCACATACATGCAGACAATACACTCATACACACAAAATAAAAATAATAAATATTTTAAAAATTAAAAACAGTATATTTAAAAGCTAAAAACATATTTGATTAAAAAAATCTGCCAACAGAAAAATGATTATTATCCCTAACACATAAACTACCTCAGAGCACTCCATAAGAAAAATGAGGTCAAAAATTAAATGACAAAAATATATAACACCCCCAAAAGACAATATAAATATTTAAAGCTATTATTACATTATCAAAGGTTTTACAAAGCAGTGACACAACATGGCCAGAGCTGCCACTGGGAGATTTGAGGGGGAAAAACTGGCAAGAATTATTTATTTATTTATTTATGGTTTTTAAAAATTAATTAATTTTGGATTTTTGAGGATGTAATTTATAGCCCAGGCTGCCTTGAACTTGTGGCAACCCTCCTGCCTTAGCCTCTTAAGTACTGGGATTATAGGCAAGAGCCACTGTGTCCAGCTTAGCTAGACTTTTAATATTTATTTCGATAATTTCTAAGATTCTAAAAACTAAATCTAAAAATAAGGAAAAGTGCAGGTGTTTAATGTAGTGTTATACAAAGCAATTTTTGAAACTGGAAGCATCCTAAATAAATAAATGCCTAATTTATCACAGATTAATTAAAAAAAAGCATTGGGAATGTGTACAAAAGTTGTGCTCAAGGAAATGTTTACTCTTATTATGGTAAAGAAGAAATTTCAACTTGTATACAACACATAATCACAAATCTACATATTTACTAGAAGATGCTGAAAACACTGAGTCTTCCTATCTGAACTCAAGAACTGGACACAATTTGCAAAGCAAGGAATGCACGAACACTGACCGGTGTCTGCTGGAACAACATACATTTTAGATGATATATTTGTCTCTGTTAATACAATGAAACTGGATTACTTTTATAACAAGAATACTTATTTCAATATTTGGAGGAAAGACCCTCACCGGATGAGGTCAGTATTAACAGTTCAGTGACTCCTGTAATAGATAAAGACAGATGCACAAGGCAGCATTCTACTTATCAGAGCACTACTAAAGATGAAATGATCAGAATGCCACTAGTAAGGAGCTGGTCTTAGGAGCCAGCAGGAGCTATTAAAGTAATGAGAACTACCTTGACCATCTCAATGCATTTACTCTGCTGTCTGGGAAAATCATTACACATTAAGAAGACGCAGCATTTGCCTAGCATGATGGCTAGCATACATGAGCAGTAGGACACAGAGGGAGAATGCCACCAGGTAATAGCATTTAAGGCCAGGATGTATGCTGTCTGGGTTGGATAGAGTTTGGAGGTGGAGTCTTTCAGAGGCAGGACTTATACAAAGTAGCTAGGTCACGACAGCATCATCCTTGGAAGGAATTAACCCGGGTCTCCCAGAGTAAGTTCTTGAGAGAATGTGCTGTTCATACAAAGACCAAGCCTAAACCAAGCATGGTGTCATACTTATAATCTAGCTAGAGAGGAGGACAAGGCATTGGGGTCATGAGTTTCAGAGCAATTGAGCAAGGTCCTATTCTCAAAGAAAGGCCTGGGATGCAGTTCAGTGGTAAATAATGTAAGAGAAAGGGAGCGCCATGTTGGGGCATACAAATCGGGTCTGAGCCCTGAATCCTCCTGGCTTCCAGTCTCAACATGTGATCACCACCAATGGAGCACTCTCACCCACCACTGTATGCCATCTACCATGAGGCCCTCACAGGAAACTAAAGAACTGGAGCTGCTGAATACAACCTGCAAGGCAGGAGACAAGGACTTACCATCTGAGGTCCTCTGACCTCTACACATGCTATCTCACACACATACACACACACACTGGATTTTTAAAAGTATACAACTTGACTTTGTGTCGCTAGTGAAATAAAAATTAAGGACTAAAAACAGATCATAAATTACTTTTTTTAAAAAGGGGGCCTGGAGACCTTAATAAGGGAGATATGGATAAAAATTGGGTTAGTCTAAGGGAGGGGGGAGGAAAGGGGATATGAGGAACCTAGGGGATAAGGAGAAAGAAGAAGCTCAACAGAGGTAGGATCATAG